CCCCCCCCGCCCCGGGACTTCTCCACCACAGCTCCCTCTTAGTGCTCACCTTCAGCCCGAAGTTGATGGCGGTGAATAGGCTTTTGCAGACTGGGCAGGAGAGGTTCCACCATCCAAAGGCATCCTTGAGACTAGGCCCTATGCCATTGAGCCTGGCAGGATATCCTTGAGCAGGAAGAGGGTGAGCTCTGACAGGGGCCCAGAGAACCATAGAGTCAGGCAGAACCAGCAGTAGTCCCAGGCCGAGACCCAACCAGAAGAGTCCCAGACGAGGGGCCCATGAGGACCTCTCCAATCCCTGATCCCCGCTGGACCTGCAGTGACCCTGGCCGGGTGACAGTCCGTGGCGGGGCATTGCCTGACTTCTAGGCAGGGCTGGCTCTCCAGACCCCACCTGGCTGGCCCGCAGGGCCCGCAGTGGCTCCGGGGACACCCGGTGACCCTTCGCTGGGAAAGGCTTGACTGCTCAGGCAGCCAGCCTCAGCGCAGCTCCGCCCCTTCCTGTTCCTCCGGTCCCCAGCAGCTGATGCGGGCGGCGGCGGCGGTGGGGGAGTCCCGTCGATGCCAAGGGAAGGGAGGGGCGTGTCCGGTCCCGCCCAGCCACGCCCCCTGAACAGGCCCCGCCCCGCCCCGCCCCGCCCCCCGCTTGCCCCGGGGTGTGGGCGGATGCTCTCTGCGGGGACCCGGGCGCCGCCCCGGCTGCCGCAGTCCTCTGCGCGAGCCGGGGCCGGGATCTGGTGGTGGCCTGAGTCCAGGATCCCAGGCCTAATCGGAGAGGGAGGGTGGGGAAGGCCTAGAGAGCAGCGATCCTGGCCCGGAGTGGGCGGCTCCAGACGCCCAGGCCCCAGCCCTCCGCTTCCCACGCTCGGTCCCTGGCAGCTGCACCTTTGAATCATTTTATTTTTGTTTTATCTCGAGGAGAAGGGGCCTGGCCAGCTCTGGGTGGCCGCTGTGTAAAACAGCTCTAAGGCTGGGCGTGGCCTTGACCCAATCCATTTGTACAGCAGTTGTTTTGACTCAGGCTGTACGGTTTTAAACAGAATGACTTTACATCTTCTGTATACAAATAAACAACCAGCGCCAGGGTAGTCTGATCATTCATGCAAATTGAGTATGGCTCGCCCTGGTGGTGCTTGCCTGTAATCCCAGCTACTCAGGAGGCTGAGATTCGAGGTTCACGGTTCAAAGCCAGCCTGGGCAGGACAATCTGTGAAACTCTTGCCTCCAATTAAACACTAAAAAGCAGGAAGCAGAAATATGGCTTAAGTGGTAGGGTGCTAAAAGCGCTGGGACAGTGTCTAGGCCCTGAGTTCAAGCCTTCGGACCGGTACAAACAAACAAAAATAGGACCAAATGTAAACTTACCAAATTAAAATTTAGAAAACCAAAAGCAGCCAAACCCATATCATGAGGCCAACTAGGTCCATGAACTTCCAGAGAACCTCAGACTCAGTGATTTATGCAGCTCTGCCACCTGACACACATAAAAGGAGAGACCCCCCCCTAGCATTACAACTGAAAGGATCTGTCACATCCATGCCGGGGGACCACGCCGAGGCAGGCAGGCACAGGAGAAAGATTATTACAAGGTTTATTAGAGGAGCCATATTTGCCCCAGAGAGAGGGGATGGCAGCCTCCACTATCTAGGTAGCAGCGGGGTCTGAGAGTTGGGCAGTGAGGTAGATGGGAGTTGAGGTGGGTCTGGGTGGAGAGAGGCGGGCCCAGCTGTTTGGCGGGAAATCCAGGGCAGGGAGGAGCTGAGGACCAAAGGTGGGTATAATGCTTACAACAACAGGATGGCTCCAGCCCCTGCATGTGGGTCAGCAACCTACACCTCCTGACTCTGTCCCCTGGGGCTTTAGCTCAGCTTGAATTTCTGCTTTATCCATCCCACTGAGGAAGTAGGAAAATCATCTCCATGTCTGACTCAACTGTGCCTGAAGTCAGTTCAGCACCTTCAACCAGCCTTTTACCTGAGGACTTGGAGATGATTCCACCTGCTGTCGATGAACTATGGTCATCACTGTGGTTGGACTACAAGTTTCTAGAAGACCAGAACAGCTCAAAAAATTACACTGTGCCCCAAAGCTCCAGATACAGTCAAAAGGTCATTGATAGACTGCCCTGGGCCATGCAGGCCCTATACTGACACCTCCCTACCTCTTGATTAAATTTCCATCCAGTATCTGTGTTACCTAGGTAACTGGCACACCTCCCCCCCTCCTGCTAGGTTACATCCTGGGCCACCTCTGGCCACATGCCTCCCATCTATGACTTTAGGAGGGTTCCAGGCCCTGAGGTCACACCTTTCCCCCACCTGACCACAGCTCTTCCTGTTCCTGGCCTAGATAAGTCCTGGCCTGGGGGTGGGTCGCCCCTTTTGGCCACGCCCCTGCACCATGCACACCACGGGCCACAGTTTGGTAAATAAACTCCTTTTCCTGCTTGAGTACTGCATGGTGTTCTCTTCATTGGCTACCTAAGGAAACCTACCTATATAATAGACCTTACAAGGGACATTCCCTTTCTGTGGGCACATTCTTTTCTTTTATCTGTCTAATCTCTCCTCTTTCTATCTTTGTTTCTTATCAACCTAGAATAGCCCATATAAATCTTCCTCTTTTCCTGCCTTTTTTTTTTTTTAGTACTGATTCAAGGCAATCTGAACATGTGTTTTCTGAATAACAAATTCTTAGTATTCCAACTAATTTCCCTTATATTTTGGCAGTTTATGAGTTTAGATGGACTGATAGAAACACAATAGGGCAGAAGGATCACATTGTTGATGTGATCTCTCAAGGAAGCCTCGTGGCCCCTATGAGAATTCTGAAGCTGGAATGACTCTTTGGGGTTGTTCTCAAATGAGAGAACAACCAACCTTCCTTCCTTCCTTCCTTCCTTCCTTCTTTCCTTCCTTCCTTCCTTCCTTCCTTCCTTCCTTTCTTCCTTCCTTCCTTCCTTCCTTCCTTCTTTCCTTCCTTCCTTCCTTCCTTCCTTCCTTCCTTTCTTCCTTCCTTCCTTCCCCCTTCCCTCCCTCCCTCCCTCCATCCCTCTCTCTCTCTCTTCTTTCTTTTTTTGGCAGTGCTGGGGTTTGAATTCAGGTTTTGTGCTTGCTCAGCTTGTATGCTTGCTTGGCTGGCACTCTCCACTTTAGCCAAGGTTCAATCACTTTTTGTTGGTTATTTTAGAGGGATTTTTTTTTTTTTTTTTTTGCCTAGGCTGGCTTTGAAAGTGGATCCTCCAGATCTCAGTTTCTTGAGTAACTAGGATTACAGGTGTGAGCAATTAGCTTATGTCTCCTATTCTTGTTAATATCTAAAAAAAAACCATGGTGGGGTGGGAAGCTAGATTTTCTTTGATTTGGGTGGTTTTTGTTGTTGGGTTTTTTTTGTTGTTGTTTTTGTTAGTCTTGGGGCTCCAAGCTGGGCACTGTTCCTGAGCCTGTTGTGCTCAAGGCTACCACTTGAGCCACAGTGCCACTTCTGGCTTTTTTAGTAGTTTATTGGAGGTAAGAGTCTCACGGAGACTTTTCTGCCAGAGCTGGCTTCGAACCGTAATCCTCTGATGTCAGCCTCCTGAGTAGCTCGGATTACAGGTTTGAGTCACTGGTGCCTGGCTGGATTTTGGTTTTTACTTTTAATGCCTAAGTCTGACCATTTAATATTTATTAATTTTAATCCCTCTGTCTGCCATCTCCTTCTCTGTCTTGTCTTAAATACATGTTCCCAAGGCGAGCCTAGTGTCAGTACCATCAAGTATCTAACCTGTCAACAATAGTCAAATCCACTGAATGGCACTGTGCCTCCAAGACAAAACTATATTATTTGTCATGAGTTGATTAGTCTTTCTATCCTAAAGATGAAGCACTTTATTTTGTTTGGAATAGGTACATATTTCAAAATGGGTTAAGATTTCTGTGCTCATTGTGCTTTAACCATCACCCTGCCAAGATCCCAGGACCCAGTAAGTTCCAGAAAGCAGCTCCTCCAGCACATGACTGTAACTCTCTTCATGGTGGAATCATAGAGGAAAGATGGTGGTGTGAGACGAAACTGACTCCATCTTAAAAATTAGCTACCTAACCACCATCTTAGGGAACCTTAGGGTGACTAGTGAATAACCGCATGTTCCTGGAAAAACTACAAAGTGTTCCAACAGCCCCAACAGCTCTAGCAAGAGCCAAATAGCTGTTGTACCTTAACCTAAAGGTATTGTGCTCAATAGCTTCTGCAGTTTGGTTCTGGTGCACTAGTCAATCATAGATAGACAAGGTGCACTCTAAATGCCAGCCAATTATGTAATTGCCAAGCTGAATAGCCCCTAAACTTGCTTATTCACTGTTATAAAAATGCTGTGACGAGTGTGCAGAGCACCAAGCTTGAGCTTGCAATCAAGACTCTTGCTTTTACATCAGTGTCGGCTTCTGGTGGTCTTTGAGGGTCTTGAAAACGAGCATTACAGTGGAAAAAGTTATACCTCACAGCAGTTCATTTCAGGATAGTGACTCTGATAGTCTTCTTTTTTTCTTTCTTTCTTTCTTTTTTTTTTTTTTGTCGGTCGTGGGGCTTGAACTCTGGGCCTGGGTGCTGTCCCTCAGCTCTTCAGCTCAAGGCGAGCGCTCTACCACTTGAGCTACAGTGCCACTTCCGGTTTTCTGGTGGATTATTGGAGATAAGAGTCTCACAGTCTCTCCTGCCCGGGCTGGCTTTGAACCTCGATACTCAGATCTCAGCCTCCTGAGTAGCTAGGATTACAGGCCACCAGCGCCCGGCTTCTTTCTTTCTTTAATTTTAATTTTGTTGTTGTTGTTGTTGTTGGTTATGGGGCTTGGCCTGGGCACTGTCCCTCAGCTCTTCAGCTCAAGGCTAGTTGATAGCAAAAGATTAATTAGACTTTTCCAGCGAACCACACAGACATCCAAGTACAGATAACAAAGGTTTATTGCCGGAAAGCGGGGAGGGAAGGGTGGCAAGACTCCTCCCAAGGTAGGAATGAGAAGCACCAGCTATTGTCTGGGGTGACCTATATAACCCAGGAGGTTTAGGAGGGGCTAGAAGGGGCTAGGAGGCAGAGACCCTGGTGTGGACATGTGGGCCAGGGGCTTCATCATGGTGGACTAGGATTTATGGCTGCTGTCCATAGTAGATAAGGGGTCCTGCAGCTGCCCAGACCTGAAGGTCACTCTAAGGGGTTCTTGTTGCTTTATATGGTGGTAGCTGCCCCAGAGAAATGCCATCCCAAGGTAGAGGGGGTTGGAAGTTGATTATTCACTGCCTTTACTACATGGGCCTGGTGTTTCCTAGGAAGGGGGCATGCTAAGCTGTAGAGAAGGGAAGGAGTGGACTAAGCTATGGGAAGGGACTCATTTCACTAACATTAGTGAACGAGCATTGAGCTACCACTTGAGCCATAATGTCATTTCCAGTTTTCTGGAGATAAGAATCTCATGGCCTTTCCTGCCCGGATTGGCTTTGAACCGTGATTCTCAGATCTCAGC